ATGCCCCGTGCGCCAGCCCGCCGCCCGCGTTCCCCCTGCCGCTGGCCACCTTCTCCGCCCCCCAGTGGGTGTGCGGGGCTGTCCTGTCGCTCTCCCGGCCGCCCCGCCCCTTCCCCAATCCTACCCTCCTCCTGGGACCGAAAGGTCAGTATTGCCCTAACAAGGCCATTGGATCTCAGAAGCTGTCCCAAAATAGCCCCCTGCCAGCCCAGCCTCCTTCGAAGGGGAGGGAGGGGTGTTTCCAACCCGGCTGATGCTGCGGACTCAGGCGGTGGCCGAGGGGTGAGGAAGGCACCGAGAGTCAGAGCAGGCAGCCTCCAGCACGCAGTGTCCTTCTACCGGGGGGAACAGCTCCCTTGCACCCTCAGAGTGCCCTGGGGCTGGGGCAAGAGGGCACCCAGGAGTCAGGAAGGGGGGCCAAGGGGGACCAGCAGAACACCCAGTCCTGGAACACCTGAAATCCCCCAGAGCTGGGGCTTGGCAGACCTCAGCTCCACCGCCACCCACATGCCCTAACAGGACCTGGGGCTCAGCTCCCCGCCAACCCACGAGGAATCCAGTGACCTAAAGAGAAAGGAACGGGACAGCTCTCACAGGCTCCGAAACCAGAGGAGGAGCCGGGGAGGCGAGGGTCTGGGGACAGTCTGGAGGACATGGCAGTTCTGAGTCTGGGCTCAGCCAACCCAAATCCCTTCCACCCCAGCCACCTGGGAGAACGTGCAAGCACCGACCCAAACCCTTCCCCTCTCCCTGTGAGGGCAGAGGGCTGCTGTCCTCTCTCTCTCTGAGGCATGGGGTTGTGGGGTGTGTCCGAATAGGTTCCACTCGGAAATCCTCAAGAATATATAACATGTGTGTGTTTAATTTTCCTTTGCAAACTCTCTTCTGCTCTGGTGTCCTAGGAGCCTGCGTGGCCAGACTTTAGGAAGCCCTCCCAGCTGGGTCAAGAGCCAAGGCCCTGGGTGGACTCCTAGTACTCAGGTTCCCACAGACTCCAGTAAAAGAACAAGTCTCCACCACAGGAAGCAGAGGTTGGGCTAGTGACTATAAATCCCGGCTGAGCCTGGGTTAATAGGAGGAGAGACTAGCTCCCGGACGTTGAGAGCCACGGAGGACAGGAAGCTCGTGTGTTGCATGGACGTGTGCAAGTGTACGTGTGCATGTACCATGGCGGGGAGGAGAGGAACTCAATCCCCAAAAGAGCAAGCACGGAATGTTAGACCATTGTCTAACTTCGAACTTACCCCACACAGTTCCAAACTCCACGGCGATGTCAGCCACTGAAGTCATAGCAGTTATCCTTCAGAACTGGGCAAAAAATGTTCTCTCCTTTTCTCCCAGATGACCGCGTTATGACTGGTTTCCACATTGCACAGCCCCTGCCTGAAGGAGCCTGTGCCTATGGTTCACCTCCAGGTCAGAACAGCCAGTCCTGGTGTTTGCCAAGCCAACAGGCAGTGAGCAGTAGTGGCTAAAGACGGTATCACACAGGTAATCGCACTCCCCCACCACCTGCTTGCTCACACGATTCACTTCTAGAAACACCTTCATGCTGTTACTACTTCTCACCAAGGCCTCTGGAGAATCACAAGTTTCTTTCCAGCTCTGCATGCAAGGAAAGAGAGAAAAGCATCTCAAACCAGAAGCCAGAGGGGTTTGAAATGCCCATGTTGGATGCCCTCTGTAATTAAGTGCCACACAGATCACCAGAATCCTGTTTGAAAGCGAGGTGGCCTCTGCTGTGTCGAGTGAACTGTCCCACTTACGGGAATTTACCTCTGTTCACGGTAGCAACTCCCTGTGGGGTTGACCTACCATGGGTAGTTGCACGTAAGAGTCAGCTAGATAACTTGAAAATGCAAGCAGATTCCAGAACCCCACCCGGGGCCTGCTGACTTACATTGTCCTGGGAGAAGACGAGCAGCTGCATTCATATGAAATAAAGGCTTCTCTGATGAATCTGACTCACATCCTTGGTTAAAAACCATTGTTAAGTTTTCAAATTGAGGAATTCTTTTAACATGCATAAATTGATCATTTGCTTACTACAGGCTGTGTAGAATAGGTAGTTTTGGAGTTAGGTATGTGTTCAAATCCCTGTTCTGCCTATCACAGACTGCGTGACCCTGACCATCTAAGCCACAGATTCCTCATCCGTAAAAAACCTACCTCAAAGGGTAACTGGTATTAAGGATGATAGTATTTACCTTATATGGTGAGGTGAGTTAACATTGTAAAAAGGCTTAGAACACACTAGACATTTAATGTTAAATACTATTAATATTATCCTCACATAATAAATTGCTTTTCAGACCACGATGCTCAAAAAAATAGCCATGGAAGAGCGCCTCCCCCTCCCATTGCCCAACTGTTAATACCTAGACGTTGACACACTCCTCACTCTTCCCAATACACGCTTACATCATCCTGTGGTTTCTCACTTTTTAAACTGCTAGACTAAGTTACTAGAAAAGGGATACTTCAACTTTGTACAGTCGAAGTGAAATCCTTTGTCAATTTTATACCGGCCTTACCTGCCCCAGGTGGAGTGTCCCAAAGAGCTCCAGGGCTTTGGTGTCCTTTAGCCCTCCCTTTCTGCCAGCGCATTTCAGGGAACGGGAGCCCTCTGGTGGCCATCGGTGCACTAGACTAGATTGATTTTCCTTAGGAAAACAAAATGCTCCAGACCAAATGAAGTCACTAAACTTGAAGTGAATTTCAAACTATTTTAAAAAGTAGCTATCCCATTCTCTCTTCCTCCCAGGTCTTTTCTCACTCCTCTGTTTTTTGATCAGAGGAGGCAATCACTTCCTCCATTTCCTTCTCAACTTCTCAAGTGTAGCTGCTGCTTGAAAAAAACAAAATTCCAAGAGGGGACTGTGCATGGGAACCCACTCGTGTTCTTAGCTGTTGAAGGCCGGGCTGAGGAAGCCTCACTCGCTGGGAACGCTTTTCAGACATGTTTCCTGGCTGGGTTAGGTGCCCTTCCCACATGCTGGCTCCTCTCTCCAGCAGAGTTGTCTGAAGCAAGGATGATATTCCCACAGCCCACATGAATACCTGCAGACACGCTAGCTCATCTGTGTAGACCCAGGCCTGCACACTGCACACAGCTTCTCATCTCTCCTAGGTAGCATGTGGCAGCTGCTGACTCCCTCCTAGGAACACTTTGTCAACTGACTTCTAGGCTCCCTCTCTTGCTTCTGCTCCTTCCGTACTGGTCCTCCTCACCCCCCGACCTCTGTGCCTTGGGAAGGTCCCAGAGCTTAGTTCTCTGACTTCTCTACCCATGAATTTCTCAGGTGGTCTCCTCTAGTCTCATTAAATTGAATAGTGCCCATGTACTGCTGGCCCCTAAGCCTGCCTCTCCATCCTGCCTCTCTCCTGAGCTTCAACCATGTATCCGAACACCTACTCAGCATCACTATCTCATAAGCGTCTCAGACTTGATAAGAACAAAACCAAACTCCCAGTTTCGACCCCCGAATCTGCTCCTCCGGTTGACTTCCAACTTATTAAGAATCTTCGGAGTCATCCTCAATTTCTATCTTTCTCTCATATGCTATGTCCAATCTACCAGCAAATCCTTTCAACTCTAAAAACTCCAGGACGCATCTTACCTCCGGCCCTGTCAGTGTCCAAGCCACCAAAACCATTCCCGACTGACTGCAACAGCTCAGACTGTGCTCCTTGCTGTCCCCTGTCTACATACAGCAGCCAGTGCTTTTTAAAAGGCAAGTCTGATCAATCGTGTCTCTCTGTTCTAACCCCATCCCCAAAAAGGCTCCCTATCTGAGAGTGTGATCCAAAGCCTTTATGTATTTTTTAAATTACAAAGAGGGTGCATGCATTCACTGGAGAGCGAGCGAGCAAGAGAAAGCATCCCCCAAGAGTGTATGGTCACACCTGTTGGGACTTAGGGCATCTATGCACATATACCCAGCATGCAAAGATTTGAACTATAGTTAGCCATGTGGGATCCAGCTCCCTTAACCACTAGGCTTCAGAGCCAGACCAGCAGCCAGCTCTTTTAAAATGGCTACTAGGCCTTCCATGAGCTGGTCCCACCCTGTATCTCTGACCTCTCCTGCTCAGGCTATACTGATACCTTTGCAGATCCTTCTGCCAAGAATGCTCTTCCCCAAAATACCTGCATGACTCACTGACTCCCCCACCTCAAGTCTCTACTCAATTGTCACCTTCTTACAGAAGTTTCTCCAACCACCATGTACAGACAAGTAACCTGTCTCTACCCCAGTCCTATATTCTAGTCCTCTTTTTCTCTCCAATACCACTTCTACATTCACCACCTGTCTCCACTGAAGACAAGGGTATCTTTCCTACCATTCCATTCCCAGCACCTAGCAGTATGCCTTGTGTCTTATAGGCATTCAATAAACATGGAGGGCATTAAGTAAAACACTGGGGGTGGGGTCTTCAAGTTCACAGAAAATTTTTTTTTTTTTGGAGAGATTTTTTTTGCTATAGAGTGCATGCGCTCGCCAGGCAGACAGAGAGAGACAGAGAGACAGAAAGCGAGAAATCACCCCCCAGAGGGGATGGTCACACCGCAATCCCTTCTCCATTCTCCTCTCGGGATCTTGGGCATGCACACACATGCACCCGGTGTGAGTTTTAAGCCACCGGGTCTGGGACGCGAACTGCAGTCGACTACGTGGGAGTCCAGTGACATAGCCATTACGCTAACTGCTGGCTCCCACAGAAAATTATTATTAAAAAACAAACAAACAAAATACCAGCTATGCATGGTGACCAGCAGATGGCCTAATGGTTACGTCACTGGACTCCCATGTAGTCGAGTATAGCTCAAGTCCCAGACTTGGTGGCGTAAATCTCTTGCCGGATGCATGTGCACACACGCCTAAAATCCTGAGAATGGAAGAGAAGGGATTGTGACAGGGCCAACCCCTGGGGGGATGCTTTCTCACTTTTTCTCTCTAGCAAACACCCTGTAAACAAAAAAGTCTTAAAAAAAAAATCTAGGGACCAGCAGTTAGCGTAATGGTTATGCCACTGGACTCCCACATAGTCGACTGCAGTTCGAGTCCCGGACCCAGTGGCTTAAACTCACACCGGGAGCGTGTGCGTGCGTGCCCAAGATCCTGAGAGGAGAATGAAGAAGGGATTGCGGCGTGACCAACCCCCCGGGGGGTGATTTCTCGCTTTCTGTCTCTCTGGCAAGCACACACGCCTGATAGTAAAATCCTCCTCCCCCCCCAAAAAAAAAGATCTATGCATGGAGTTCTAAAATTTTGTCCCAGCATAAACTCATACTTTTTAAAATGTTTTGCCATAGGGTGCACTGTATGCACTCACCAGACAGTTAAAGGAAAAGTGAGAAATCCCCCCCAAGGGGGAATGGTCATACCACAATTCCTTCTCCATTCTCCCCCCAGGATTTTAGGCATGGACACACACACACCTGGCATGATTTTCAATTTGGGACTTGAACCATCACTATGTGGGAGTCCAGCACCTTAACCACCATGCCACCTGTTGTCCTGTACTTTATCTCTCCAAGAACTTGCTGAAGTGTCCTCGTAAGTCAGGTACCAAAAGGCAAGCGCTTCTGTTTGTTCTCACTACAAAGCCTACCTCATAACCAAAGAATGGTTACCTGAGGCTGGGGGGCTAGAGGATAGGGAGAAGTTAGTTAACAGGTACAAAATTAATTAGAGAGTAAGTTCTAGTGTTCTATAGCACTATAGGGTGACTATAATCACCAATAATTCACTGTATATCTCAAAACAGCTAGGGGAATTTTGATTGTTCTCAACAGAGAAATTATAAACATTTGAGGTGATGGATATAATAATCCTAATCTGCTCATTACATATTGTCTACACATGCCAAAATGTCAGCCAGTACCCCATAAAAAATACTATTGTGTCGATTAAAGATATATTTGGTTGAACGAATGTTCAATGAAAAGCTACGAAATAAGACATGAGGAAATCAGGATGGTACTTTTCAGAACATTAGAGTAAAACTTAAACAATCCCTGAATCTACAGAGGGACGCAAGTCACATCCACAAAAGAAATATTAATGTCCCTAATGAGGGACACTAATCTTAAAGTTAGCTCAGTTGGGCCTGGGCAATTTTAAACTTCAAGATTCACGTTTTGAGACGATTTTGACCAAGATGCAGATAACCAAGTTATTCCCATAAATCTGGACTGTCTAAAGTTTCATCCAAATTGGATTTTGTCAAGAGGTTACGAGGTCATTGAAACTTTGTCCTTTTCAATCCTTACATACCCCCTAACAACTCTGTCTGAGGAGTGTAAATCATTCTTCACTCTCTGAGGACTGCTGTAGTAATTACAGCATTACTATCCACAACACTGGTTTGGAAAGCAAATTCAAAAGGACTTAGGGACCATCTTAACTCAAGTAACATATTAAACCCATTTAACATGAACTTGAATTTAAAAGAGCTCACACCTCACAGTAGTTCCACTACTTCCCAGTAAAGGTGAGACAAACACTACCTGTGAAGTAAGGGTGGAGTGGTACGTTTACAACGGGCTTCAGTAGCCAAGTTCGTGGTTATCAAATGTGGTCTGGGAATCCTGGGAGACCCTGAGACTTCAGGGCATCTGAAACCTGACTTTCAGGAAACTATTTTCATGGTACTCAGACATGATTTACCAATTTCACATCATTCTCTCACGAGTATCACCAGAGTTTGTCAAAGACCACGCAGTATGTTAGTCCAAGACCCAAATGCAGAAATAGATGTGAGACTCCAACCATGTTCTATGAAGCCAGACAGTAAAGAGAATTGCAAAAATGTAAAATGAGGCCACTCTTCTCACTTACATTTCTTGTTTTGGAAAAGTTACTTTTTATTTAAAAATGTTATATATGTTAGCTTATGTTCTTCATTATTTTCAAGTGAGGTGATATTTTTAAAAAACTTCTCAGCTTTAATTTCTACTATGGTAAATACTGAGATGTAATCCACATAAACAAGATCTCTTTGGGACCCCGAATTAGAGTGTTGATGTAAAGACGACCAAAAAGTTTGAGAATTACTGCAACATACAAAACAGCACTTTCTGACATCATTATGGAATATCAGGAACAGCGTCTAGCGCAGTAACAGTGATGTGTCTCACTCTAACCTCGGCCTTCGGATGTGTTACTAAACCACACCGAACTAGTAAGTGCAAGGGCAATCCCACTTCAGCTACGTAAGTCATTCCAGGGCTTTTCCAGCAACCTCCCTTTCCACCACTCCAAAGTACAATTCACTCTGTCATGAGTCAACCATACAGCCAGTGGGATGTTTTAGTAAATAGTAAAAACTCATTTTGTAACCTAAATGAAACAGCTTTTTGTTACCATATGATAACATGGCTGGACATCGTCACTTGATTCGGTGGGTATGCTCAGGATGGTCTGAATAAAAATATAACCTGACACATACAGAATTCATTTGGGACCAAAGACAGGGATTCATCCAATGGCTAAAACTGAAAACAGGTTTTTTTTCCCCCCAAACTCTGGAGGGAAGAAGGGGATGGCTGACCAATAATGTAGGCTATAACATTTACAAAATTCTCTTTGGGGATGAGGGGCTGGGAGGGCAGGTCAAAGTGATAACCATCTAAAACATTTACAAACGAGGTCTGAAATCTCTATTACAAATGACTGCAAAAAGCATGCCATATTTTAAAATGCCAGAGATGGAGAAGACACACATTAGTTCCAGATATCACACATCCCTGGCTGAGGGACTTCATGTACCATGCCTCGGGATGAACAGCACCAGTGGGAGTTTATTTTGTGATGGTTAATGACGCTCTCAAACAATACAGGGAAGGCCAGCTATTTTATTCAAATTGAATCTAAACCTTAGATCTCTGGCTTAACAATAACAGAAGAAACCATTAAACACACAATAAACTGCCTTAAATCAGAGATGGTTTAAACTAGTCTCATAACTTCTAACATTCTGGGCTGGCAACGACAGCATGACAAATGTTCAGTCCAGTTACAAACCCCTACTTGATTTTCCTTGGCTGCCAAATCTTAAACAGATCTGGAAAATGCACTGTTTTACAAAGGCTTTTACCATATACCACTGTTGCCAGTCTCAAGTAATTACTGTTTCTTCATCCCCCGGGGAACATTTCTAAATGAGAGGGCTTTTTCTTTGATCTGCTTGCCTTGATGTGTTTGTAAGAACTCAGAAAGTAAGTTTAAAGAATGAAGATTAACTGAGATGCCAGGAAAGTTTTTATTGCAAGCACAGTGAGCAGAAAGAGATGTCTTCTCACACAAAGTGGCCGTAAGGTCTGCCATTAACTAATCTCTGACAACCCTTCATTGGTTTAGAGCCCGTGAAGCAGCTTCTTGCTATCAGGTGTACATCATTTCTGCCATGTGCGACATCTTCTTGGGAATATACAAGTAATACTCCATGTAGCCTGATAGGTCCTCAATGGTCACATCATCCACATAGACTCGCGCTTGCTCAGAACAGGAGCGGGGAGAGCCAGACAGAGTTCTGGTGTGCAGCGGCTGAGAGTAGTCCTCAAGCGTAGATCTTCGTTCTGGGGCCAAGGGGGGGACATTCTGCAGGCCTGAAAAGGAATACACTTCCATATCGTGCCACCTCTTACACTGGCACTCCTTGCCTACGCACGCACATGGCTTGCCCTGGTTTAGCTTGGAAACAGACTGAAAGTCAGAGAGATCACTGGCCTTGAGACTTGCTTGGGAGACTTGGGTGGCATCAGAGGAGTCTTCCTTTTTATTCTCTGATGGGAGCCTTGGAATGGAAGTTCCCAAAGGCTCAACGACTGCCCCTGTGTGATTAGCATCGAGAGAAGAACTTTCTCCTGCGCTGAACTCTTTAGGGTTTGAAATTCCCAGCCCACTGCTGCTATCAGGGGAGTCAGTCTGGCTTTTGAGCTTGAGCTGGCTGCTGGAAGAAGACGCTATTGTACTGCAATGAATAAACTTTGGAGGATGAAGGACAGGAGACTTGGAACGACGGCGACGCTGGGTTCTCACTGCTCCTCGCGATGATTTCCTTGTAGACCTAAGAGGGAAAAATTTACAAGAGGTTGGGATACAGAGCACTCCTAAGCAGAATTTCATGATAGCTGGAGATGTATCTCCTCTCAGGTTTATGCAGTTAAGTTCATAAATGTCCTCCAAGATGTGTCTGCTTCCATTTTCAATCTAAGTCTCTATGTCTCAAGAACTACATTTCCATGGGAACCAGCAGTTAGCATAATGGCTATGTCGCTGGACTTCCACATAGTCGACCGCGGTTCACGTCCCAGACCCGGTGGCTTAAAATTCATGCCGGGCGCGTGTGCATGCGTGCCCAAGATCCCGAGAGGAGAATGGAGAAGGGACTGGGGCATGACCATCCCCTCTGGGGGGTGATTTCTCGCTTTCTGTCACTATGTCTCTCTCTGTCTGTCTGGCGAGCACATGCGCCCTATAGCAAAAACCTCTCCCAAAAAAAAAAAAAAAAAACTACATTTCCTTTATTAGCAAGCTATAAGAATAGTTGAGATAAGGGTATTTTGTTTTCTTTTCTTTTTTAAAGTTTTTATTTCTTCTATGAACAAGAGATAGAAAGGAAAGAAGCCCAACAGGGGTTGCCACTACCCATCCCCAAACTCCAGCCAGCCTTAGACCCCAGATGTGTGTGTGTGCCTGTTGTTCTCAAGGAGTTCTCAAGACACAAACCCAGAACCTTCCCAGCCTCATAAAGCATCATGTCTCACTGCTGCACTATCAGGCCCCAAGCTAGTTTTTAATCGAATCACCTGGGCCAACCATTTGGCAGAGAGCATGTATCCTATCCCAACACCTTAGGCTTGGGAACCTGCGGCCAATGGGTTTGGAGGAAGCACCCTGCACCAGTTTAAGGTAGCTTAAACTGATGCTGGAAAGTGTAAGTGGTATGTCCTAAACCTGAATACCACAGCTTCAGTACCACTGTGAGGCCAGTGCTAAACAAGGGCCACTATGTTAGTAGGTCTTCTGGAAAGTCACGACGTATTTTTCTGTTTTCCTATGCAAAAATGTGTCATGACTTTCCCGGCGACCCAATATAATTAATAAGTAGAACAGTGTACTTAGGATTTGTTTCTCACTGGTAACAGCTGACAAAAAGCAAACAATGTTAGACTCCCTGAGGTTTCCACACACTGGGAGTTACCAGACACACTACATAAAACAACTATTTAACTAAATAAGAGAACAAAGAAAAAAAGAGACTTAGAACTGTCAATCAAGTCAGAAAAGAAAACCAAACAGGACATTATGAAATAAAAAACGTGAAGGGGCCTGTCATGGTACAGGAGTAAACCATGACACTCTGTAAGGCTGACCCACAGGGGAGGCTCTTGGCTGCGTCAGGCATGCATGTGTCCATGATTTGGGGCTGGCTGGAGCTAGATCAGGGTGTCAAGACCCTGTAGGAGGTGCTGTCTGTCTCGCTCTTACTCATGGAGGAAATACTAAATAAACTTAAAAAGAAGGAAAAAAGAAAAAAAATTATATTTAGAATTAAACAAAATGGATGGGCTAAATAGCAGAACTCACACAACTAAAGACAGAATTATTGAACTGGAAGACAAATGTGATTACTGGTAACAGGGTCAGCAAATTCCAGCCTGTGGGTGGAATGTGGCCCCCACCTGTGTGTGTACAGCCCATGGATACTGCTCCAGTGGGTGAGTACTGTGAGCCAGAGAGCAGGCTGGGCCAGCCCTTCTGCCGGTGCTCTCTACTCCCTCTGCCTACCTTCCTGAGCAGTGGACACATTGCACCACTGCCCAGGCCCACACTAGCTACCACCTACGTGTTGGGTCTCTGCTCTGGGCAACGGAGGCATCAGGACATAACATCTCAGTCCATGACTCGGACCAATGCTAAGATTTCAGTAGAAGAACCTGGAATCTAGGCATCACTAGAATAGAGAGTAAAATCAACCATGGTGTGCCCCAGGGACATTCACTCCACCAGGCCCACCCTCACACTAGTCATCTCATCCTGAGACTGTCTCAGCAACTGAACACAAAGTGTGTTCACCGGCCAGGATGGCCCGATCCAAGCACAAGGGACAAGTTTTCTCTTATTTAAGTACCTACAGAATATTCTTGGATTCTGCGTCTTGGCCTCTAAAGCCTACAATATTTACTAAATGGCACTTCACACACACACACACACAAGGTTGCTGGGCCTGCCCTGTACACAGGAAGCCTGATGTCACATGGATGGCTAATCACAGTTCAAGCCACGGTTTCAAGGCTTGAAACACATGCTAGGCCCAAGTATATGCATGCCCCGAATCCTCACAGGATGAAGAGATGGAGTAAAAAAGGATTGCAGTGTGACCACGTCACGCTGGGGAGTGCTTTCTCTCACCTCTCTATCTCTAGTGAGTGCATGTACCCTCCAATAAAAATAACAATAATGACAATAATAATAAGTCTGCAAACCCCTGACTCAAAAGGCCAGAGACAGAAAAGGTATAGAGACAAGAATGTGGGGAAAAAAATGTAAGCGAGATCAAGTGCAGTCTAAGTCTGGAGTCTCTGAAGGAACGAACACAAAGAACAGAGAATAAGCGATTCATGAAAATAACTAAAAATTTTTCTGAAGGATGAAAGAGCAGAATCTATACATACAGAAGCAAGACAGAGAGGAAGAACTTGGGCCGGCTCACGGCAGAGGCTAAGGCACTAGATTCCACATGGCCAACTATGAGATCTGAGTGCTGGACCCAGCAGCCTGAAAAACACACCAGGCACATACACATGCACATGCAGGCCCAAAATCCTGAAAGGAGAAATGAAGAAGAAAGTACAGTATGACCATCCCAAGGAGAGTGTTTTCTTTTTCTCTTTGTTGCTCTCCAGTAAGTACATGTGTCGGCCAGCAAATATTTTGAAAAAAATCTAGACACATAGTGGCAAAACAGTAGAATAGGAAAAAAACAAAAAACAAAAACAGATCTCAGGACCAGCAGACGGTGTAATGGCTATGTTGCTGGACTCCCATGTAGTTGACCGTGGTTTGAGTCCTGGACCTGGTGGCTTAAACTCACGCCAGGCTCACGTGCGTGTGGTGCCCAAGATCCCGAGAGGAGAATGGAGGAGAAGGGATTGCAGCATGGCCATCTCCTCTGAGGGGTGATTTCTCACTTTCTGTCTGTCTGCCTGTCTCTATCTTTCTAGCAAGAGCACGTGCCCTACAGCAAAAACCTCTCCAAGGAAAAAAAGAAAAAAAAATAGATCTTAAAAGTAGTAGAGATTAGGGGCCGGGCCGGGGGCACCGGATGAGGGCACCAGGGCTCCGTGCTCACGCAGGCCCACCGCCCAGGACGTGTTCCTCATGATCCGGCGCCAGAAGACCACCATCTTCACGGACGCCAAGGAGTCGAGCACCGTGTTCGAGCTGAAGGGCATCGTCGAGGGCATCCTGAAGCGGCCACCCGACAAGCAGGGGCTGTAAGCAGCTCCTGGATGATGGCAAGACACTAGGCGAGTGCGGCTTTACCAGCCAGACGGCAGGGCCACAGGCCCCAGCCACAGTGGGGCTGGCCTTCCGTGCAGATGAGACTTTTGAGGCCCTCCGCATCGAGCCCTTCTCCAGCCCCCTGGAGCTGCCTGATGTAATGAAGCCCCAAGACTCAGGAAGCAGCACCAATGTACAAGCTGTACAGTGAGGGCCCCTGACCTGCCCGCAGGTCAAACTCCCCTCCCCACAATAAAAAAGATTTGGGTGAAAAAAAAAGTAGTAGAGACTAGAGATTATTTCTAAAAGAACAACACTTAATTTGAAAGTAGGCTTTTCAATATCAATATAGTGAAGCCAGAAGACAATGAACAGTGCATTCGAACGCTAAGAGGAAATATGATTTCAGGTATATCAAATCTATCTTTCAGAAACAAAGATGAAATAAAGACCTTTTTGGATAAATCAAAGTGTATTTGCCAAAAGGATATGATGTTCTATTATTCCAGAAGATGCTATTCAAATGTATTCTGTGTGAGATATAATTCAGAAGCCGTGCTTACTAATAGACCTTTACTAAAGGAATACAGGAAGAAAGAAAGTGATCCTAGTGGAAGGTCTGAGGCTCAAGGATGGAGAGCAAAGAAACTATAAACATGTAGATAAATCTAAACAAACATTGCTTAAGTAATAATAACAAATCCAATTTGTGAGATTAAAAAGAAGTGGCACAGTTAAATATTGGGCAACTACACGATGGAAGTCAGGAAGCAGAATAAAAGGGTTCTAAGGAGGATTAAATTATTAACTGAAATCTTTGTTAAAAACATGAATGACAAATTTTCAGGGCTAATTACTAAAATAATAGAAATAAAATAGTTTCCAAACCAGCAGAGGAGAAAATGGTGGAGGTGGGGGAGGGGAGAACAATTTTTCAAAAGATGGTGAGAAGAGGGAAGGTACAGAGAAAAGGGGGCAAAACCATGATAAATAACATATGGTAAAATGGCAGAAGCAAGCTCAACTATATCAATAATCAAAACAAATGTAAATGCACTACAGTCAACAGTTTAAGGAAAAGATGATCAGACTAATAAAACAGAACAAAATAAAACCTAGCTATATATATAAACTACTTATATAAGACATACCTAAAATCTAAGAATGCAGAATGGTGAAGGAACAGAAAAAGATACATGAGGCAAATACCAACTAAAAGAAAACTGAATCGGCTGTACTAATTCCAAAGTAGACTTTAAGACAAAAGCTACTATGAGAGACTAAGAATGTCACTAAAGGAGCCAGCAGATGGCATAGCAGGTACATTGATAGACTCCCACATGGCGGACTATGGGTTGAGTCTCAGACCCGGTGGTTTGAAACTCACGCCAGGCACGTGGGCACACATGCCCAAGATTCCAGAAAAACAGAGACGAAGGGACTGTGGCACGGTCACCTCCAAGGAGGTGATTTCTCACTTTCCCTCTGTCTCTGCCTCTCTCTCTCCAGCAAGTGAACATGCTCTAAGACAAAAACCTCTCTTAAAAACAAACAAACAAAATGTCACTAGATAATAAAGGCTTTAATGTATCAGGAAGAAAATATTCTAAACTTGAATGAACCTAGGCTGTATAAACCTAACAAAAATAATCTAAAAGTTCAGAACTTAAGGGGAAAAGAGACAAACTTACTATCATAGGAGAGATTTTAACATACCTCTCAATTTTTGATAGGTTAAGCTGACCAAAAAAACTGAAAAAAAAAAAAAAAAAAAAAAACCAGTCAAATAGTACATTTAAAAGCCTGATTCAATGAACACAGAACCTGAGAATGATTAGAGAAGACCCATACTTCTTAAACACACATATTGTAAAACATTTACAAAAACTAATTGTGGACCAGGTCACACAGAAAGTCTCGGCAAATTTACAATTGAGAAGAATGGGTCTTTCTTCATTGTTGGGTCTTGAGTTCTATATCATAACACTCTTT